CGAAAGGAACACTGCTGAGATGTTGGACCAGATCCCTGACCCCGCGGCCAAGTGGATTGGATTTTAGATCAAGAAATCTTAGCACTGGTACATACTTTAGTGCATGGACCAGTGCTGATGCTTCATCTTCACCCATATTTGTATTCCCCAGGTCCAGCCATATCAGATCGGGTACATTGTTCAGGCTCTTGGCCAGTTCAATAATCCCGTGACCCAAGGCATTGTCGTCTATATTCAGTTTTTTTAAATTTTTTAAGTACTTTAATGAGGCAGCCAGTGATGATGCTTCATCTTCACCCATATTTGTATTCCTCAGGTCCAGCTTAGTCAGATTGGGTACATTGTTCAGGCTCTTGGCCAGTTCAATAATCCCGTGACCCAAGGCATTGTCGTCTATATCCAGTTCTTCTAACTTGTTTAAGTACTTTAATGAGGCAGCCAGTGCTGATGCTTCATCTTCACCCATATTTGTATTCCTCAGGTCCAGCTTAGTCATATTGGGTACATTGTTCAGGCTCTTGGCCAGTTCAATAATCCCGTGACTCAGGGCATTGTTGTGTATATCCAGTTCTTCTAACTTGTTTAAGCACTTTAATGAGGCAGCCAGTGCCGCACATTCCTCTTCTCCCATTTGTACATTCCCCAACACTAATCTCGTCAACTGTGGCACGTGATGAAGATTCTCAGCCAAATGACTCACACCACTGTGTAAAGGGATGGAGGACAGGCTGAGCTCACGCAAATTTGGAGAATGCTGCAGTGAGTCAGAGATAAAAGCTTTACACTTTACTTCTATATCGATGTCCATACCGTGGAGATTGTCAGTAAAATTAATTCCGTCAATCGCGCTCTCAATCAATTGATATATAAAGGTGTTCTCCTCCCCCTTCCATGGTCTGCCTATTTCAATTTGAATTTTTCGAGGAGCTGTTACTAAAGGTAACACGTTCTTCAACAGAGCAGCTTCCTTAAATGTGTGAACCGAAATGTGAACATTTCTCACCAGTGACAAACAGTGGTTCTCAGTCAAAGGCACATCAATGTTGTTGTTTTCGTTATTTACTAAATTATTCACAGGTGGCTGAGAGGAGAAAACCGGCGCTGATATCAGTTCAGGAAGCAATTTAGAATGAAAATCCTTCTTTGTTATGTCAATTAGATAGACAAAGTTTCTCCCTCCGGATTTTTTGAGGAAAGAGTTCCCAACGAGTAAATCCGCGTACTTTTGTACATCTTTACTTTCTCCAGAAGACGTTAAAACGACCGCGTTCAAGTCTAACATTATTGATAGAACATCAAGGGGT